AGATCCATTTCTGTCACGGTGTGGGAGCTTCAAACACAAAATCACAATGCGGCACCGAGTCAAACATTCTGCATGCATACGCACACCGACCGTGATTCCCACTGTGAGAAATCTGATTACTTTCTCTGAAAACCTTGTTTCTCTCAGATGTAAGGCAGTGAAGCCACACATTCGGTGTTATTAAGTAAAAAGTAGTTTTGTTTATGTTGTTCCTTTTCCAAGCTCAAGGTATCTTTATAGAAGTCATTGAAATATTATAAAAAATATTACTGGGTAAGCCAATAAGCAGCCATTACCCTAAGTTATGGTTGTTATGAAATAAGTTTATAAAAAAATAATTTTTCCATTTTTCATTGTTTAATTTTTCACTCTCCAAACCCAAGCAAATCTTACCAGCTTAAAACTTACTCGAGTTAAAGCTTACTTACTGAGTTTTGTGTATAGCTTTGAAATAAAACTGACAATGCCTGAGGTATATTTAGAGACATGAGTTATCTTTTTAAAATATAATATTGTAAGTAGTTTCAGAACCTTGAGCTAGTTCCGTGTCCTTGCAAAACTCAAATCAGATTTGCAAACTGCAGTCCAGCTTGCAGTTCTATGTGACTCTCTCAAATAAATGTCAGCAGACATCTCTAAGACAACTGGCTAATATAAAGCAAAAAAAAAAATATATATATATATATAATCTTTCCTTCCCCTGACTAGAAGGAATTGTTAAGATCTACAGAGCAAGCACACACTAATTCCATCTCTATTCTCCATGGAGTTAATGTACTTAGGGGTGCTTTTTGATTTAGAGGCCCATGACTTTTTGACAACTGTTCCTTTTTTATGCAACACAGTCACATCTTTTACCATTGTGAGCGAGCTGGGTTGCCTGCATGGCGCAGCTGAGTGAAAGATGAGATAATGTGGCAAATGGAATTATGGTGAATCTAATTCCCTTAGGCAGAAAAGGCACCACTGTCTCACCTATCCACGTTTTTCGGACCATTTTATCAGTACCATTCCATTAGCTTTAATCTTCATTATTAGATTTGATGTGAAAACTTCACTGAAAATAATTAGATCATTTGACATTTTCCTTTCTCCCCCTTTTTCTCCTTCAATAGACCAGCTTGAATGGACCTCAAATGAACCAAGTGGCAATTTCTGGTTGCTGAATGCAATATCTGTTAAGTGATCTACATGTGATGCAGTTATGTTTGTTAACAAATTTTTTTTATTTTTATATTTATTTATTATTATTCATTATTAAGTTTTTAAGGCTTTTCAAATATTTATTCCTTTTTATTGTGTATAAAATATATAAAAAACTTTAAACTTAGACTTTAAACGGTCCACCATTTAGTTTTGATTTCATGTCCATCTCTCCATTTCTCTTCTTTTCACTGTTTTTTGTACAAAATATTTTTTTTATAACTAGTCTTGCTCCCAGCAAGGCCAGAAGGTTACATTTCCAACACAATTTAATACAGCATATGACGTTGAATTCGTGCTTTTGAACCACTATAATTGACACCTTTATTTTCCTCCACAGCCTATGCGAGATTTTGTAGGTCAGCGCTTCCACAGCGACTAAGCCATCTGTAAAATTTTAACAGCAGATAATGACCAGCTGAGGCAGCTTTATCCAGAGCCAGTGGTGACCTTTACACAAAGGATCATGGTGATGACTCGTTTCAATGCTTTTAACTTACAGCACTAACCTCTAAAACCAGTCTGAAGGTTTTCAGGCTTTTATCACAACCTTTTGGTCCTTCGCCATGTGACGTCTCTTCACACATTTTAAGCAGGTACTATAGGGTCACTGTGGAGAGTGGGGTAAAGCCCCAACTGATCATAGCTGATTATGTGTCCCAGTGGTCAACAGAAGGTGCCAGGCACAATAAACAAAGGCCTGGTGAATCAATAGTTTTAGGCTAGACAGATCGGAGGGCTGAATTTGACAATGAGTTTAATTGATAGGCATGTAAATGGATGAACATGAGGGTTGGTGGAGAGATAGGGATGGGGCAAAAGCTTCTTGATGACCTAAACAAATCTGTTTGTAGTGGATTAGACACTTTACAAGCTGGGCATTTAAAAGCACACTCCAAAAATATATGGATCAAGCCAAGCAGGGGGAAACAATCGATTTGGGCCACTGGCAGGCAAGAAATTAAAGATCAGCAGATGGGCATCCACTGGGAGGATGATTAGAAAAATACGAAATACATGTGGAAGCTCAGGATGGACATCGCGACCAGTAAATGGGATTCATCGAGAAACTGTGATCAATAGGTGGTAGTTTCTCGCATGACTGTTCCTCTGTGATAGAGGGGGACTTGGGTTATGGAAAATCTCTGCACTAATCTAGCCTGATATTAGCTCAGCGCACTTTGTTAGCCACGTGAGTTTAATGTAGAAGAACACTATGTCTGTAGAGGCTTGATAAATTGCACATTTTCAGAAGTGCAATCAACATGATGGCGAGACAAATGGTTCAGAATGTCTTTTGACAATTCTAAGGAAAATTTGAGGTTTTGCCTACTTTTATATTAGAGTTCCAAAGCTCTTAGAGTCCGTTCACAAAGAACCTGTTTTGCTTTCCACTGCACTGATTTTCATTGTTTTTCTATCTATACATGCCATAGACGGACCATTGTGCTTGGGCCTTGCGTTTTGTACAGTGTCCTGACCCTTAAGTTTAACTAAAACTAAAAAGCCCTATAGTGTTCTATAGAATTCTCTCAAGACCTTGCGTTTTTTCCTGATTCCACTTCATTTTATTAGTAACCTATAAACACGGCAAAATCTTTAATATTTCTTCTTTGTTTTTCTGTCCTAATTGTTGTTTGTTCTTAATTGTTTAAAATTTTAAATTCACTATCCTTACTCCATACTACACCAAAGTATGTTCATGAAAAAGACTCAACAAATAATATTCCATTTATTTTTGATGTTTAACATTTGTTTTTGTTTTTTTTTCCTGTTACTCTGATATGGGCTTAATGGGTAATTTATGGTCTGTTTATGGTTTCACCTTCTGCCATTGTAAGTCCCTCCCAAGCAGTTTGTATTACTTATCTGGTTCATCTGGAATACCTAGAATATCCTGAAGAATTGCATTGGATGCAGGCATAACGGCAAGTCAACAAACTATTCACATTTGGAGAGAGAAGGTCATTAGCAAAGCTTAATAGGTTTTTGATTTCACTAGAACCTGATCACAGGGAAACTTTATTTTACAATTAGTCAGAGGGACGATCAATGCAATTACAATTTAGCCGTGGGGGTCAGTCACTTTTCTTATACTAAAATGGCATAGGATGTTGGAGGTGAGGAGAGGTGAATGAATTCAAGCACCTCCTCAGGTTTTCAAATGGCACTTGACCTCTTTCTGTTTCAGAGCTTTCCTGTTGGTGTACAACTGGCCAACTCCAGTGTTAATCTCATTAGAATTGGCAAAGATATACAGAGTTCTGGCATGAAACTCTAGATGGCGCAGTCCGATAGGTCTAACTCAATCTGACCTAATGACATCATTATCACAGGGCACAGCTGATTGGTTCTCTCCTGTATCGGTAGCCAATGAGCTCGCTGCTCAACATTCAAATATATGACTAGTGCTTGCCGTAGCAGTGGCAGCTTGCTTCAGAAACCCTCCACGTTCCCCAGCTCCACCTGTATAAATCTGCTACGAGGTGATTCATGTATGCTATATGGGGGTTATTTCATGTATGTTGTATTTGCAGCAGCAATATTTCTTACACACTCAAAGCAGAATGTTGTGGATGTATTGGCAGTAGCAAGTCTCGGTACTTGCTCTGCCGCAGCAGCAGCGTAGCAGATCTATTCCGCCAAGACCAAATACATTAACATTGTCATGTACATTACCATGCCAATCCCTCCGAGAGTTGTCATGACAGAAGTTTATTTATTTATTTTTATTTAAATTATTCAAATAATTCAGTGCTGAATACCAGTGAATTAAATTATTTATGAATATAACAACTTTTTTTTCAGGTGGACTTGAACTTGCTAGTCAGAATGTGTAACTAATGTGAATACCATTACACAACACAACAATATCCTAAACTCTCCTATCCTAAAATATGTATTAATAATAATATACTTCTTTTTTTTTTTAAATTGAACCCAAGCAAACTTTGAATACAGCCATTAATTAAAAACAGTATATAAATAAATACATAAATAAATAACATGAATTAAACAAAAACTGTGTAACACGATCTGGCTATGCATATATTTTTTCAACAGATCTTGTAAAAATCTTTTTTGTTTTCCTGTTAAAATACTGTCCTTATTTTACCTACACTACCCATTTACTTCCTTTAAGTACAGAAAGGAGAGAGATGAATTATGAATGATTCATGAATTAGTTTTTTTAAGCTGAAGTCTCAGCAACTAGAGACTTATAGTTACTATCCAGATGTCCAAAACGTGCAATGAACGTGTCAAAATTACTCACACGCTTCTGATTGTCTACATTTTTTCCTACATTATTCACTTCCTAAAAACTTGTTTTCACTGTCCGACATTCTGCAGGCATTGTGGATTGTACAGTAAAAAGTATTTATATATCTGCAATTATACTTAAAGCATAAATGAAAAAGCTGTGATCTGAAATATGTGAGAGATCTGTCAGCACCTTTTACACCTTTCCAATACATCAATATGCCATTATAATTTTAGCACAATGAAGGGCCTTTTAAAATTACTACTGTATAATTGCCGTCTACCAAGCTGCCATTATCCGAGGCTTTGAGTTATTGACCGGGAGACTTCCACTCAAATTTACTCTCTTTGTTAAGCTTGTGACTGGATCATTGTCCCCAGAGGGGGCAGAAATGGTCAGGGGATCTGACCACCACTGTAAGTGAATCGTTATAGGGTTTCGCCAAGGGCACATGGTTTGGAAGGGTAAATAATGGAGAAAGCACTTTGTGTGTCTATAATTAACCATTCTCTCTCTTTCTCTCTCTCTCCCTCAGACCCAGCAGCAGTGGACTTTGAGGAATATGAACTGTCCACATTGGCTGATACACTTAAGAGTTACATTCAGGACTTGCCCTGCCTGCTCATCCCAGCTGTAGTGTACAGTGAGCTGGTCTACACTGCTCAGGGTAAGCTGTCCTCTGGAGCTCAGCAGTCAATTAACTGAAATTGGAGTGATAATGGATCAGTGTTCAGTGGATTTGTTTCTAAATTAGTCAACACTGATCTCTCATGAACTCTAACTTTGCAAAAATCTATATAAAGGTGCAGTAAATGTATGATGGAAGTACATTTTGCAGTGAATAATGAAAGATATTACTTTTATGATACCTTTTGAAGCTTTTTAATAATTTTTGAAGCTTGAAAACCTGTCTCCATTGTTTATAATTACCATCCTGTACAATTCTTCAAACAAGTCATAAAGGCTTGAAACTACATACGAGCAAGTAAATTATGTCAGAATTTAAAGGTTTAAATTCTCCTTGGTTAAAATGCACAACTAAAATAGGTGGGTGTGTTTGTCCTCTTCAACATATAAATGCTCAAAATGTTCAGTGGGCAGAAAGAGGCTTGAGAGAGGCCGAGAACAGAAGTAGTGTTCTAGAAAGAGGCAGAGAGTGTGTGTGTGTGTATTAGTGGGGGCACTACTATGCCGGAGGGTAGGTTCACACCATCTCTCTCTGACCTCGCTCTGCATTACACCCACTGACAATGAAACAAGCATACACAGTCTGCCCCATCTTTTAGACATGCCTGGTTGCTCATAAGTGTTGCCTGACTTTGTAAGGACCCTCGCTGAGTATTGCCACATCATGTTTCTGATGCCTGAAAATTATTGCGGTCTTAAGACGACTTGTATCCTTAAATATACTGGTTGAATAGTATTTAAGGATAAGATGCAAAAAAAAATGCTTCAGATGCAAAAAAAAATATGCTGTTTTAAATAAATGTATTTTTCATAACTTGCTGACAACTTCATGTTTTAGGCGTGAACTTTGTATGTAATACATCTAATTTTCAAATCTCAGCTAAATGTATCTTGTTTTGAAGGCATTTAGATATTTTTACTGAAAATGACAAAAATACATACTAAGGCTGGCCACACACTAGAGGATTTTAAGGCCGATTAGCCCGATTTGCACCCCTGAACGATCAGGGGGTGTGGCCCGATTCGCGGTTTGTCGCAAATGACTTTTTGTCCAAAAATCCTCTATTGTTTGGTGTCATTGCGATTATTTAACTGCTCCCGATCGAGACAGAGCGTCCCTGAACTCAAATGTTTCAAACATGTTTGATATCTACGGCTCTTGACGTGATATCCAATGAGAGCGTCACATACCAGATTTTGCGTGCTTCTATAGCTGAAACTTGGCTTTCACAAACATGCCACGAATGCAGAGTACTGAGAAAGAACATCACCCATATTCTTTTTTTTATACTTAGTTTTTCACTGTGAACAGAACGCATGCAAGGAGAGCTAGCTGACAACGTCGATTGTTCTTTTATTATATTATAATAAAATTATAATATAATAAAAGGATTATAAGGCTAAAAATTGGTTGAAACTGTCTTCATGTCTGTGGTGTCCCATGGTTTTAAAATCAGTTAAAGGGGTCATATGACATTGCTAAAAATAACTTTATTTTGTGTATTTGGTGTAATGAAATGTGTTTATGCGGTTTAAGGTTAAAAAAACACATTGTGACGTAGACATGTGGGGGCGTGTTAGAATGAGCCGTTTTAGATAGGAGTGGTTGACTCTTAACTTTTATAAAGAATATCTCTTTGGATTTGAGACTTTAGTCTTTGAAACTTTACAGATCTTCTTTATACACCAAGAGCTTGTAACACTCCAAAGAGAAAGGAAAAATTGAAATCGCATCATATGACCCCTTTAAGATTTGAAAATCGTCTAGTGTGTGGCCAGCCTAAGATAACATTTTGGCAGTTTTTTATGATTGATTTATTTACTTTCAATTTTAGAATTTCAAGACTTGATCTTCTTTTTGACTAAACATATTGTCGATTGTTCATATCTTCAATCTGCAATATACTCATTCATTGTCTTGATTGATTTGCATGATTGGTCCCATAGAGTGGCAAGTCTAATTGCAGTTAATTAGTTTCATTTAGTGATCTCTGCAATAGGAACATACTTGATTGATTGGCTTATACCAAATAATTTAATTTTCCAACCTCAGTTCTGCTGGCACTGGTACAGTATATAAGTTACATAAATGAACTGCAAAATTTCAAATGAAATATTGATATATTGGGTCAGTGAGTCTTCAAGTGCAAACTCACTGTAGGATTTGCCATATGGCATGTTTAGCATTTGTGCATTAACCGTTCTTAAAGAATCAATGGGCTATTATAGCAAGTAAGCTTTCGTGGAAAGTCCCTTTGTCATGGGATGCCCTTAACAATGCCAAACTCTACCTCCCTCTTCCCTGGATAAAATCCATTTAATTGTGAAATCAAGCATGCTTTTGTTTGATATGCTTAATTTAATCAACACACCAATTCAAACTATTAAATCATTTTTTTTTAAATATCATGTTATCCAAAACTCCAGGAGTTTTATGATGCATGACTTAAGGGTAGAACAATCAAATTAATTTCAAGCTTTAATCTAACACAAATCAACTTGACAATGTATTGCTTCCCAAAGCATGACAATTTTATTTAGTGGAAGCAAAGTGCAAAAAGTTATTTTTCTGGTAGAAGTTTTGAGTCCCATTGAGTGTCCAAGTCTAATTTTAAGAGCATTACTCAGTGTTAACTCTCATGCCTTGAGCACCGGTGCCCATCTGGCTGGCCAGGAGCCAGTATGCCCTCTTCCAGGAATGCGATTGGCCGTCTGCAGGGCTCCCCTTCCCCCGGTTGTGTCGTGCTGAGTCCAGATGGACTCGGCCAAGTTCCCAGCCGTGGCCTGCAGCCTATGACGCTGGCCTTTATTGAACAGGGGTCACTCTCTATCGGTAATCTCCACGAGGCAGCGGTTGGTGGGACTGTCCGGCTCCAGACTGGGGGCATGGGTGTCTGTGTGTGTGTCTGTGCATGTATTACTGAGTGTATGCATAGAAGAGGGATAGAAACCCTCTTGTATCAATGGTCAGTGAGTCTCATGCCAAGGTCAGAGTAGTGACCCATTTTCTGAACGGCAGTTTGTCAGACATTCATCATTCGACCCCCTGCCACCCACTGCTCATAACCTTTGACCTCTTAGCACTTATCTTCTATAAGCACTATGGGAGAAGCGCCTTAACCACACCTTAATGGCTTTGTTCATATCATAATTCATGCAGGAAGTGCGGTTGGCAGGGGATTGAGTCTGTGTGTTTGTTGGGGGGTGTGAGAGCAGCATTTAGGCAGTAATCTTTACTTACATTGAAAGTTGTTTTGACAGGTAAGATTAACTGAGTGTATTGCAGGACTGGCCTGTCTGCAAGCTGACATCATTGACACTGAATTATGACTATTATTTAGAAACATTCAAATGAACAAAAATTAAAGGGAAATGAGAAAATAATGTGTACATGTTAAACATTTTCTCAAAGGATGAAGATTACTTACGTTAGGCAGTAAGTGTTACTGCCTAACGCTTTTAGGCAGTAATCTTTACTTACATTGAAAGTGTTGTGGCAGGTAATATTTACTGAGTGTATTGCAGGACTGGCCTGTTTGCAAGCTGACACCATTGACACTGAATTATGACTATTAGAAACAGTCAAATGAACAAAAATGAAAGGGAAATTAGAAAATAATGTGTACTAGGGGTCGAACGACTTATGATTTTTTGAAGTCGACTTTTATGTGATGAAAGTCGAGTCGAATTCGACTAGTCGGTGTTAAACATTTTATCAAATGATGAAGAAAGCTTACTATACAATTTATTTTAATATTATTTTTCACTAGCTGTGATTTGTTGCATGACACTTTTTTAATTTTCAACAACCAACACAAAAACAAAAAGATGAATAAATGAATTTATTTTGATATAATATAATATAATATAATATAATATAATGGCTACATTTGGCTTATGTATGAGGTCTCATAAATATAATGTTTTAAATATATTTATAAGACCTTGATTTGTGTTATGTATTTATTTATTTAAACATATACTGCATTATGTATATATTATATTATACATTTATTATAGATATTTAATATGAATAATCTATACTTTTTGCATATAATAATTGCAGACATTGCATGTATCATCTCTCAATGAATTAAATTTATTCATTCATGTTTGTTTATTTATTTAAACATATTCTTAATTTATAATTAATAAATAATATATATATATATATATATATATTATTATTTTTTTATTTTTTTGTGTGCAATCATAATTTTCGACATTGTATGTATTATGTCTGTATGAATTAAATTCCTTCATTTTTGAAGTCCTAGAACATTGCATGTGGAAAAGCATGTAGAAAATTTTGTTTAAAAGAGGTGTTTGTGTACTTTTTGTTATCAATTATAGTGACCGTTAATTCCTCAAATGATGGTGACAAGAGTTATAACCAGGCATACATAGTGAATAAACAGCAGTATCAGCAGTTCATGCTTAGTGAATTCCCCCTCATTCTGTACTTTCCAGACTGGATGATGTCCCTCATTGATATCCAGACTGTATCCGTGTTCCTCTGGCTGATGAAGACAAATATTCATTGTGTGTAGGGGACTTAGGGATGAAATGCACATATCTTAGCTGTGCCACCAGGGTACACTTTAGCTTAAATAAGCCTGAATCACAGATGCTGGCCTCCTTGCTGTGGGAAACCCCATCTCAAAGGAGCTCATCAATATGTTGGAAGCTGTCGCAATAACTGCATTGTCCTTGTGGGTGCTCATAGACAATGGACTCGAGGGCAATTTTAGGCTAGCACTTTAACCATTTCTTTTGTAATTATTTGTGAATGAAAACTGTTTCAATATAAATATATTTTTAGTGTATATGCAGAATAAGAGGCTAAGATAATTTAATAATGTCAAATTATGTAACAAAATAAACAACTATAATTTGGGCTTGAGTTAAATGTCATTATCGTTCTAGACTGGCTGCATCACAATATATATATACACTGAACACAATTATAAAAGCAACACTTTTGTTTTTGCCCCCATTTTTCAAAAGGCCTATTTCTCTCAAATATTGTTCACAAATCTGTCTAAATTTGTGTTAGTGAGCACTTCTCCTTTGCCGAGATAATCCATCCACCTCACAGGTGTGGCATATCAAGATGCTGATTAGACAGCATGATTATTGCACAGGTGT